CCCATTAAAAACCGAACAAAATGATGTGTCGTTTAGTTTTTTGAAGGTCGATCTGGGTTCTCCAGAGTCCAACCAAGTGGAAAACCACAGTTTGGAAAACCGCATTTTTTGGGATAAAATCAAAAAAATTTCGGCTATCTAGAAAACCCCACAAAAGATACTTACGACATCTTGTAGAGAAATCAATGCTCTACAAAATGAGGTATAAAACTTTACTTTAGAACCAGGGCAACACAGTGAAAATTGCATTACAATGAGTTATATCATAATAGAAAGTCTGGCAGCTTTTCGCGAAATATTTAATTTCAGTGCAAAGCAACAGAGTTTTCATACAAAATGAAGGACACCTATCACAGTAAAAGGAACAACTAGGTTTTTTTGTCTGCCGGACGTCGCTTAGTCGACGCTGATATCGGGAGTGGATGGTAAACGTCTATCAGTGGATGTTGGACGATTTTGTGCTGTGTGCTGAATGGCTGTTGTTCCTATTTTAGCTAAACCGACTGCATCGCGCAATTTAAATCGATGTGGTACTTCAGCGAATTTCTGTTCTTCTTCAAACTCTTCTTCGTCTTCTTCATCGACGTCCATTTTTTCTTGTGGTCTCCCACGTAATGCTTTTAGTCTTGAAAAGAATGAGCGGATTTGACCTGGTTTCAAAAATTCTTTCGGTGTGAAATAAAATTTTCCATTTGGCAACTTCTTTTGTTGCATTTCAGTGGCTAGTTCTTCTGGCTTCCAACGCATTTTATTCAGTAATCGGTCATCGAATTTGTCAGTCAAATATTTTATTTGTGCCGGAGTTAGGCGATTTTGAGTTCGTTCTTTTGGCAATGCCCAGCCACGTGCTGGACGAACGATATTCGATCGCTGATTATCAGCAGAAGTAATTTCTAATACCAGTGATATCATACGTCTATCTCCAGTATTTTCTAGTTTCGAATGATATAGTTGCATACCTTGATCTTTCATAGAAATACGTTCAACTTTACGTCGATGTTTACCACTTGCCATGTGTGCCATGTGGCTAATCAGATTACCATTTTTTATGAATGCAGCTATGCAGCCTTCTTCTGGACATTCGTATAATTGACTTGATGTAGTCTGAATGTCATGAGGAATTTCAGCTATTGTGGTGTCACTGGATGCTGTTGACGAGTGTATTTTTGTCTTGTTTTTGATTGATGTTGTTGATGAACTGGACGTTGCTGATGTGGACGGAACTAAATTTTCACATTGAAGATGACTAATGGCGCTGGTAGACTTTAGATTCTTCCAGGGAATGAGTTTTCCAGCTGCAATGTTCCACGCACGATGAACACGAAGGCCATTATTTTCGAAACCGAAGTTGTTGATAGTGGTAATTTTCGGAATAGAGAGTGTTGACGTATCTTTGGTGCTGAGGAGTTTACATTCAAATGCTTGCACTCCTTTCACACCATCATATGAATGGCAAGCCTCAATGAATTCCGATGCATTTGTTACATTATGTTTTTCGTTTAGATAACGCCGGATAAGTGCTTTGATCACAGCAGCATATCTGTCACATACTGATTTTCCTGCCTGAGGATCCGAAAAATCCATTCGTTCAATTTTAATTTTTGTTTCTTTCGATATTTGTGGTAGTGATAATATTGTTGCTGCTGAGTGGTAACATCCGGCGTTATCTGAGCGAACAAATGCACGATTAATTATTGGATTATCTCGTTTGACTCTTGTTAATACATCATGTAATATGGCCGTAACAACTTCCGCATCCTGCGTACAATGTTCAATCACATGCACGAATATCTTGTAAGAGTAAATTTTTGGCGAATCATCATTTTCTTCGTCACTTCCTACCGAATTATAGCTGCTGTTATCATCATCTTCATCTGTTACTACTTGTTTTGTTGTCCGTTGTGGAGCATCCCCTTTTTCACAGACAACTGTGATATGCCAACTGAGGCCACGCTTTCCAAAAAAATTTTCTTGTGACTCCCTACAGCTCTCGGGCAACCACTTCATCGCAAAATCCATGAATACATAAATACTATTTTTATCTAACACATCCAATAATTCCTGTAGAGAATAGTCTTGATTAACTGCACGAAGCTGATGACATTTCCACGAATCAATGGCTTCGCAAGTCATTTTCCACCTAGCAAGTGCTCTATCTAATAATTCTTCATCATCTACAGTATAGTTAATTTTGTCTCCTATTCTATCTAATGTTGTAGCGAGATTTTGACATTCATCACACGTATCATCATGCGAGTGATCACATTGCTGTTCCTAATCGTTATCTTTTGAAAATGAGAGTGTATAATTTGCACAATGATCAGCTACTGTAGAAGATTTACCAACGTGAACTTTATAGTCTGATTTCAGATACATCCTAGCACGTTTTAGATTATCAATAATCGATCGTTTGCTACCTATATCGAGTCCTAATTCCTCTACTAACTGAATTAAATCATCGAATGCCTGACCACCGTTGGCTGCAAAATAGTTGACACCCTGTAGACCATGACGGGTTGAAGCTTTACGAACATTGAGAAGAGTTAGTAAACTTGTGCGACCCAATGGAGGAAAACCAGGAGAATTCTCCAATATATACGAGTAATATTGATCTACGATACGACATGGTATAAGATTCCTAATCGTATTAGGGACAAATAGTTCCGTACCGTTTGATAATTTTAAAGATTGTTCCCCAAAAGGCATGTCCGTGCAGATATGAGGTGATAATATAAAATCGATGAAATGTTCTACTTGGTAGTCTTCATATCTTTGTAAAACAATAGGTGTAGGTTCAATGTGCATACCCACACCGAATTCGAAGGCATGACGTCTGGCTGCACTGAATCGATATATCGTTATACCTGGAATAAATGATTGCAACAACTGATAATTTATTTTCGTTGCTACAACTGATAATATTTCTCGACGTATAGTCCAATTTTCAGCATTATTATAAGCTTCAGCCACACCTTCCATAATACTAATAA